AGACATAGAACAGACGTTTCAAAAATTTATGTGGAACAATAAATGACCCCGAATAGCTGCAGCAATTTTGAGAAAGAAAAACAAAGTAAGAGGGATCACAATACCTGACATCAAACTATATTACAAGGCCTTTGTAATCAAAACAGTCTGGTGCTGGCACAAGAACAGACCCATAGACCAGTGGAACAGAATAGAAAGCTTAGAAATAAACCCATGTCTCTATGGTCAATTAATATTTGACAAAGGGGGCAGAAGCATAAATTGGAGTAAAATAGCCTCTTCAACAAATGGTGTTGGGAGAGCTGGACAGCTTCATGCAAAAAATTGGAATTTGATCATCAGCTGACACCATACACAAAAATAGACTCAAGCTGGATAAAAGACTTAAATATAAGTTGCAACACCATAAAAGTCCTAGAGGTGAGCATTGGCAGGAAACTCTCAGCTATGCTACGCAGCGATTTTTTCACCAATATGTCTCCTAAAACAAGGGACATAAAGGAAAGAATAAACGAATGGGACCTCATCAAAATAAGAAGCTTCTGCATGGCTAAGGAAAACATCAGCAAAATTAAAAGGGAACAAATTATATGGGAAAATCTATTTGCCAATGATATATTAGATATGGGTTTGATCTCCAAAATATATAAAGAACTCACACAACTTCACTCCAAGAAGACACAATCCAATCAAAAAATGGGCAAAGGACCTGAACAGATACTTCTCCAAGGAAGAGATACACAGGGCCCAGAGACATAAGAAAGGATGCTCAGCATCTCTAGCCTCCAGAGAAATGCAAATTAAAACCACAATGAGATACCACTTCACACCGGTCAGAATGGCCATCATAAACAGATCAACAAACAATGGGTGCTGGGGAGGATGTGGACAAAAGGGAACCCTAATACACTGTTGGTGGAAATGTGGACTGTGCAGCCACTGTGGAAAACAGTTTGAAATTTCCTCAAAAAGCTAAAAATGGAACTGCCTTTTCACCCAGCAAGTCCACTGCTGGGATTATACCCTCAGAATCCCAAAGCACCAATTCAAAAAAACCTATGTACCCCTATGTTCACAGCAGCACAATTTACAATAGCCAAGTGCTGTAAACAACATTAGTGCCCATCAGTAAATGAGTGGATCATAAAACTATGGTCCATTTACACAGTGGAATAGTACACAGCACAAAGAATGAAGGAGCTACTACCCTTCACTACAGCATGGTTGGAACTGGAGAGCATTATGTTAAGTGAAATAAGCCAGGGGGTGAAAAACAAATATCATATGATCTTACCTATAAATGGAACCTACCCATGAAAACAAACAAGCAAGGAAAATATAACCAACAACATTGAAAGGAAAAAGACACCAACAGAATCAGGAGGGAAGAAGGGTGAGGGACAGGGAAAGGGAAGGGAAGGGAAGGGAAGGGTCAAGTCAAGGGACAAGTGTGGAGGACCCATGGACAAAGCCAAAGGTGGAAAGGATTGAGGGAGGGAGGTGGGGGAGGGGGTAGCGGAATGTGGTGCAGGAAGGTGGAGACAAATGTCTTTAAACAATAAAAAAAGGTATTTTTGAAAACTATGTTAGTTACTCACCTTCTTGCCTTTCATGAATATGTTGTACATGTTAGATAAAATTTTTTGAAAGACAAAAGTTTTCAGTCTCCAAGATGTAGTCTCCAGACAAAAAAGCAAGAGGAGATAAAATAAGCCTGTGGCAGCCAATGAAATCAAAAATTTTGCAATCCCATGTTCTCCAAAACTATAGACACTGCTCTCAGTAACTGAGGGTAATAAAAGAGATAGCCTTACTTTAAAAACTGATGCAAAATCTAAGATGACACCAAAAGTTAAGAAATATAGATTCAACATGCATTTTAAGTTAAATTTAGAGAAGTATGGAATATGGATAATAAGTAATTGTCATAATGTTTTGTTTCTCTTATTTGATATTCCCTGGTATTTATGTTATTTTAAAACTTCTCCTGCCAACAATTTTTTCCTACTTCTTACCAGTTTTGATAGGAGACCATCATACTATATACTCAATGAATTTCGAAGGCTTGAGCTTTGAGCAGAATGCTTAGTAATTATTCATACTATCATGGCATCTGAAAACAGTGACAGTTTTACTTTCCCTTTTCCAATTTGGATGTCTTTTATTTGTTTTTCTTGTCTGATCGCTGTGGCTAGGACTTCCAGTATTATGCTGAATAGAAGTGGTGAAATTGGACATCCTTATCTTATTCCTGATCTTAGTTTTAACTAAAAGCTTTAGTTTTTGTCCATTGAGTATGATGTTGGCTGTAGGTTTCTCATATATGGCCTTCATTATGGTGAAGTATCCTCCCTCTGCTCCCCCTTTACTGAGTGTTTTTTTAACCATAAATGGGTGCTGTTCCTTATCAAATGCTTTTTCCACATCTATTGATATGACCATGTGATTTTTGTCTTTCCTTTTGTTTATGCGATATATTACATTTATTGATTTGTGAATATTGTGCCATCCTTGCATCTCTGGGATGAATCCCACTTGATCATGGTGTATGATCTTTTAATGTATTGCTGGATGCAGTGTGACAATATATTTTATTGAGGATCTTAGTGTCTATGTTCATCAGTGATATTGGTCTGCAATTTTCTTTATTGTGTCTTTATCTGGTTTTGGGATTAGGATGATGTTGGCTTCATAAAAAGAGTTTAGTTGTCTTCCCTCTTCTTGGATTTTTTGGAATAGTCTGAGAAGGATAGGGGTTAGATATTTCTTAAATGTTTTGTAAAATTCTACTGTGAAACTGTCCTGTCCAGGGCTTTTTCATGTTGGCAGTTTTTTGATTACTGCTTCAATTTCACCAGCTGTTATTGGTGTGTTGAGGCTTTCTGCTACTTCTTGATTCAGTTTTGGAAGATTATATTTTTCTAGAAATTTGTCCACTCTACCAAGATTTTTACATTTCTTGACATATAATTGTTTATAGTAATTTCTTATAATCCTTTGTATTTCTGCGGTATTAGTTGTAATCTCTTTTATTTCCAATTTTATTTATTATGGTCCTTTCTCTTTTTCTCTTGATGAGTCTGCTTAAAGGTCTGTTGATTTTGTTTATCTTTTCAAAGTACCAGTTCCTGGATTGGCTGATCTTTTGAATTGTTCTTTCAGTCTCTATGTTGTTTTATTCTGCTCTGATCTTGGTTATTTCTTTCCTTTTACTTGTTCTGCACTTTGTTTGCTGTTGTCCCTCCCGTGATTATAGAAGTAGGATTAGGCTTTTTCTTTGAAATGTTTCTATCTCTTTAAGTAGGCCTGTACATTATGTACTTTCCTCTCAGGACTGCCTTTGCTGTGTCCTATAAGTTTTGTAGCAGGGGACTTAAAGGAAAGAATAAACAAATGGGACCTCATTAAAATAAAAGAATCTGCACAGCTAAAGAAAACACCAGTAAAATAAAAAGGGAACCAACCGCATGGGGAATATATTTATAAATGATACATTGCACAAAGGTTTGATCTCCAAATAAGAACTTACACAACTCCACTCCAGGAAGAGAAACAACTCAATTAAAAGATGGGCAAGGACCTGAACAGAGACTTCCCCAGAAGGAAGACATATGGAGGGCCCAGAGACATATGAAAGGATGCTCAGCATCACTAGCCACCAGAGAGATGCAAATTAAACCACAGTGAGATACCACTTAACACCTGTCACAATGGCCATCAAAAAACAAATCAACAAAGAACAAGTGCTGTTGAGATTGTGCAGGAAAGGGAACCCTAGTCCATGGTTGGTGGGAATGCAGACTGGTGCAGCCACTGTGGAAAAGAGTATGGAATTTCCTCAGAAAACTAAAAATGGAACTGCATTTTCACTCAACAATTCCACTGCTGGGATTATACCCTCAGAATCTTGAAATGCAAATTCAAAATAACCTATACACCCCAATGTTCATAGACACACTATTTACAATAGCCAACTGCTGGAAACAGCCTGAGTGCCCATCAGTAAATGAATGGATCAAAAAACTGTGGTACATTTACACAATGTAGTACTTCACAGCAGAAAGAAATAAGGAATCCCTACCCTTTGACAGCATGGGTGGAACTGGAGAGCATTATGCTAAGTGAAATAAGCCAGATGGTGAAAGACAAATACCATATTATCTCACCATTAAGTGGAACTTAATCAACAAAAGAAACAAGCAAGCAAGATATAGCCAGATATATTGAAATAAAGAACAAACTGACAGTAACCAGAGAGGAGGTGGAAGGGGGATAATGGGGTACAATTGAGGAAGGGTCATCAAAGAACATGTATGAAGGAAACATGGAGAAAGCCAAAGGTGGTAGGTTTGAGGGTGGGAGGCAGAGATTGGTGGGGTGGGGGGCAGGAGTGGTGGGCTGAAAATGGAGACAACTGTATTTGGACAACAATAAAAAAGGGAAAGAGGTATACAAATAAAAAATTTAATAATTCTTCTCTACCCCCCCAAAATAAGAATGCTTAGTAATTAAATAAAGCAAATAAAAGAAAGGTATTTATGGCACATCTAACTATTATTATAGGCCATGCAGAATATCCTTAAAGTTCTTGTTAAATGCTCATTGTCATTTTTGGATATATGCCCAGGAATGGAGTTTCTGGGTCATATGGTAATTCTGTGTTTAGGTTTTTGAGGAACCACTATACTTTTCCACAGCAGGTACAACATTTTATATTCCTACCAGCAATTTGTGAGGGTAACAATTTCTCCATACCCTCACCAAACTAATACTTTCCATATTTTATTTTAACCATTCTAGTGTGTGTGAAGTGATATCTTATTTTTTATTGAATACATTTGACATGTTACATTGTGTAAGCTTAAGATATGTGTGTTACTTTGATACATTTATATGTTGTAATGATTGCTGATGCAGCAATCTTTACCACATTAGTTTCCCTGGTGTTATTCCCTCCTATGTATTGGTTCTGCAGAAGAGGTTGTTTATGTTACCATCCCATGGAAGATTTGATGGACATTAATATGAGCCCTCTGAGGCCTCAGAACTATCTTTTCAGTGAACTCAAAGACAAAAAAGACTCACTTTAAAGTGGAGAATGATGAAAATGAGCACCAATTATCTTTATGAATGGTCAGTTTAGGGGCTGGTGCAAAGGATAAACTGCACATTGTTGAAGTAGAGGCAATGAATTATAAAGGCAGTCCAATTAAAGTAACACTGGCAACTTTGAAAATGTCTCTACAGCCATGATTTCCCTTGGTGGCTTTGAAATAACACCACCTCTTGTCTTATGGTTAAAGTGTGGTTCAAGGCCTGTGCATATTAGTGGATAGCACTTAGTAGCTGTGGAGGAGGATGCAGAGTCAGAAGATGAGGAGGAGGAGGATGTGAAACTCCAAAGTATGTATGGGAAGTGTTCTGCCCCTGAAAGTGGTAGCAAGTTTCCACAGAAAAAAGTAAAACTTGCTGCTGCTGAAGCTGATGATGATTTTGAGGATGAGGAAGCTGAAGAAAAAGTTCCAGTAAAGAAACCTATGAGATACTACAGCCTAAAATGCACAAAAATCACACCTGAGTGGAAAAGACTCAAAACCATCAACACCAAGACCAAAAGGTCAAGGATCCTTCAAAAAACAGGAAAAAATTCCTAAAACACCAAGAGAACCTAGTTCTGTAGAATACATTAAAACAAAAATGCAAGCAAGTATAGAAAAAGGTGGTTCGCTTCCCAAAATGGAAGGCAAGTTCACCAATCATGTGAAGAACTGCTTCTGCATGACTGACGAGGAGGCTAGTCAAGACCTCTGACAGTGGAGGAAGTCTCTTTAAGAAAACAGTTTAAACAGTTTGTTAAAATTTCCATCTTATTTCATTTTTGTAACAGTTGATATCTGGCTGTCCTTTTCATAATGCAGAGTGAGAACTTTCCCTACCATGTCTGATAAATGACATCCAGGTTCCATTGTCAAGAATGTGTTGTCCAAAAATGCCTCTTTAGTTTTTAAAAATGGAACTCTAGCCTTCGCTTGGTTTTAAGTATGTATGGAATGTATGATAGGACATAGCAGTAGTAGTCAGACAAATGGAAATGGTGAAGAGACAAAAATATACGTGGGAAAAAACTCAGCATTTAAAAAATATTTATCACATCATTTCAATATTATTGTAATATTATCATTACAATATTATTGTCTATACTCATTGTACAGTCATGCATTGCTTAATGACAGGAATGTGTAAGTTCTGAGCAATGTGTTGTTAGGCAATTTCATCATTATGTGAACATCACAGAGTGCACATGCTGAGATGTAGTCTACTGCATACCAAAGCTATATGGTAGAGCTTATTGCTCCTAGGCTATAAACCAGTACAGCATGTAATTGTATGAATACTATAGGCAACCTTAACATAATGATACACCTCTACAGGGCCCTATATAGTAAATGGAGCTTGGAGTAATAGAAGTTGCTTCAGGTGAGTCAGTGAGCAAGCAATGAGTAAATGTGAAGGCCTAGCATAATACTGTACACTACTTTAAACTTTATACATACTGTATACTTGGACTATGCTAAATTTAAAGAAAGCATTTTCTTTATTTAATAATAAATTAGCTTACTGTAACATTTTTAATTTAAACTTTAATAATTTTAAAACACTTTGCCTCTTTTGTATAACAATTAGCTTAAACACACTGTATAGCTTTATAAAAATATTTTCTCTATTTACATCCTTATTCTATAAGTTTTCTATTTAAAATTTATTTTATTTTTAAATATTTTAATATTTTTATTAAAACTAAGACATGAACACACTCACATTAGTATAGGTGTACAGAGGCTCAAGATCAACTTTCATCTTCACATATCTCTCTGGAAGGTCTTCAGAGACAATAACAGAAAAGAAGCAGTCATATCCTGTAATAACAATGCCTTCTTCTGGAATATTTTCTTGAGGGTTCTTTTCTCTTCTGTAGTTACCTTTTCTCTTCCCTGTTCTTCAGTTAAGTGTTCCTGTTCCAGTTCCAACTACTCATAGGTCAATTCCTCAGGAACCACCTCCAGAAGCTCTTCAATGTCATATTTTAAACTTAATTTCATTTAAAAATTTTTATTGCTTTCCCCCCCATTTATTTATTTATTTTTTAAATACATTTGTCTCTGCCTCCCCCCCACCACTTTCTCTTGCCCCCTCCCTCCTTCCCTCCCTCAGCTCTTCCCCTTTGGTTTTGTCCATGAGTCCTTGCTATATGTTCCTTGACTTTCCCCTTCCCTTCCTTTTCCCCACCCCCCTCCCTCCTTCCTCTTGTCTCTTTTGATTTCTTTTCCTTTCAGTGTTGCTGGTCTTATTTTCCTTGCATCTTTGTATTGTTGGTTAGGTTCCGCTTATAGGTGAGATCATATGGTATTTGTCTTTCGCACCCTGGCTTATTTCGCTTAGCATAATGCTCTCCAGTTCCATCCATGCTGTCACGAAATTTAGTAGTTCTTTCTTTCTGCTGCGTAGTATTCCATTGTGTATATGTACCAACACTTTTTGATCCAATCTACTGATGGGCATTTAGGTTGCTTCCAACACTTGGCTATTGTAAATCATGCTGCTATGAATATTGGGGTGCAGAGGTTCTTTTGTATTGGAGTTTTGGTGTTCTTAGGGTATAGTCCCAGCAGGGGAATCCCTGGATCAAAAGGCAGTTCCATTTTCAGCTTTTTGAGGAAATTCCACACTGCTTTCCACAGTGGCTGCACCAGTCTGCATTCCCACCAACAGTGGACTACAGTTCCCTTTTCTCCACAGCCTCGCCAGCACCTGTTGTTTGTGGATCTGTTTATGATGGCCATTCTGACCGGTGTGAGGTGGTACCTCATGGTGGTTTTGATCTGTATTTCTCTGATGGCTAGTGATGCTGAGCATCCTTTCAAATGCCTCTGGGCCCTCTATATCTCCTCCTTGAAAAAGCGTCTGCCCAGGTCCTTTGCCCATTTTTTGATTGGATCGTTTGTCTTCTTGGAGTGGAGTTGAGTGAGTTCTTTATATATCTTGGAGATCAAACCTCTATCTGACGTATCATTAGCGAATATATTTTCCCATATGATTGACTCCCTTTTCATTTTGCTAATGTTTTCTTTAGCTGTGCAGAAGCTTCTTATTTTGATGAGGTCCCACTTGTTTATTCTTTCCTTTATGGCCCTTGCTTTTGGAGACATATCGGTGAAAAAATTGCTGCATAGAATAGGTGAGAGTTTCCTGCCAATGTTCTCCTCTAGGACTTTCATGGTGTTGCAACTTATATTTAAGTCTTTTATCCAGCTTGAGTTTATTTTTGTGTATGGTGTCAGCTGATGATCAAATTCCAATTTTTTGCATGAAGCTGTCCAGCTCTCCCAACACCATTTGTTGAAGAGGCTATTATTGCTCCATTTTATGCTTCTGCCCCCTTTCTCTAATATTAGATGCCCATAGAGACCTGGGCTTATTTCTGGGCTTTCTATTCTGTTCCACTGGTCTATGGGTCTGTTCTTGTGCCAGTACCAGATTGTTTTGAGTATAGTGGTTTTATAGTAGAGTTTGATGTCAGGTATTGTGATTCCCTCCTACTTTGTTTTTCTTTCTCAAAATTGCTGTGGCTATTCGGGGTCGTTTATGGTTCCATATAAATTTTTGAAATATCTGTTCTATGTCTGTGAAATACATCATTGATATTTTAATAGTGATTGCATTGAATCTATAAATTGCTTTGGGTAGTATGGACATTTTGATGATATTAATTCTTCCAATCTATGAACATGGTATTTCCTTCCATTTATTTATCTCTTCCTGAATTTCTTTCTTCAATGTTGTATAGTTTTCTGTGTACCAGTATTTTACCTCCTTGGTTAAATTTATCCCTAGGTACTTTATTTTTCTTGTTGCTATATCGAATGGTATTTTTTCTCTGATTTCTTCTTCTTCTATTTCATTGTTGGTGTACAAAAATGTCTTTGATTTCTGCATATTGACTTTGCATCCTGCTGTTTTGCCAAATTCACTTATTGAGTCATTTTTTGATAGAGTCTACAGAGTTTTCTATGTACATTCTCATGTCTTCCGCAAACAATGATATATTTACTTCCTCCTTTCCTATTTGGATGCCTTTTATTTCTTTTCCTTGTCTGAGTGCTGTGGCTAGGACTTCCAATACCATGTTGAAAAGAAGTGGTGAAAGTAGACATCCTTGTCATGTTTCTGATCTTAGTGGGAAAGCTTTTAGTTTTTGCCTGTTGAGTATGATGTTGGCTATAGGTTTTTCATATATGGCTTTTATTAAGTTGAGGTATGCCCCCTATATTCCAATTTTGCTGAGTGTTTCGATCATAAAAGGGTGCTGTATCTTATCAAATGCTTTTTCCGCATTTGTTGAGATGATCATGTGGTTTTTGTCTTTCCTTTTGTTTATTTGATGTTTTACATATACTGATTTGCATATATTGAACCATCCCTGCATCCCTGGAATGAATCTCACTTTATCACGGTGGATAATCTTTTTAATGTATTGGTGGGTGCAGTTTGCCAATATTTTGTTGAGGATTTTAGCATCTATGTTCATCAGCGATATTGGCCTGTAGTTTTCTTTCATTGTAGGGTCTTTATCTGGTTTTGGGGTTAAGGTGATGCTGGCCTCATAAAAAGAGTCTGGGAGTCTTCCCTCCTCTTGGATTTTTTGGAATAGTCTGAGAAGGACAGGGGTTAGCTCTTCCTTAAATGTTTTGTCAAATTCTTCTGTGAAACCATCCAGCCCAGGGCTTTTGTGTGCTGGGAGTTTCTTGATTACTGCTTCAATTTCCCCAGCTGGTATTGGTCTGCTCAACCTTTCTGCTTCTTCCTCCTTCAGTGTTGGAAGATTATACTTTTCTAGAAATTTGTCCATTTCCTTGAGGTTTCCAAATTTCTTGGCATAAAACTGTTCATAGTAGTTTCTTACAATCTTTTGTAGTTCTGTGGTATCAGTTGTTATTTCTCCTCTTTCATTTCTGATATTATTAATTTGGGTCTTCTCCCTTTTTTTCTTGATGAGTCTGCTTAAAGGCTTGTCAATTTTATTTATCTTTTCAAAGAACCAGCTTCTGGGTTGGTTGATCCTCGGAATTGTTCTTTTTGTCTCTATGTCATTCAGTTCTGCTCTTATCTTGACTATTTCCTTCCTTCTCCTTGCTCTGGGATTTATTTGTTGTTGTTTCTCCAGTTCTTGAAGTTGTAGTGTTAGGTCTTTTATTTGAAATGTTTCTGTCTTTTTTAGGTAAGCCTGTATTGCTATGACCTTCCCTCTCAGGACCGCCTTTGCTGTGTCCCAAGGGCTTTGGACTGTTTTCTGTTCATTTTCATGTGTTTCCAGAAATTTTCTTATTTCTTCTCTTATCTCATTATTGACCCATTCATTGTTTAATTGTCTACTGTTCAGTCTCCATGAGTTTGCAAGTTTTTGAAGTTTCTCTTTGAGGTTGATTTCCAGTTTTAAGCCATTGTGGTCCGAGAAAAAGTTTGGTATTATTTCAATTTTCCTGAATTTGCTGAGGTTTGCTTTGTGTCCTGTCATGTGGTCTATCTTTGAAAAACTGCCATGAGCGTTTGAATAGAACATGTATTTTTCTTCTTTGGGATGTAAGGTTCTATATATGTCAGTTAAGTCTCTTTGATTCAGTGTGTCATTCAGCGCCACGATATGTTTATTAATGTTTTGTTTGGAAGATCTGTCCATTTTTGACAGTGGGGTGTTGAAATCCCCTACTATCAGTGTGTTGCTGTCTATATCTTCTTTGAAGTCATCCAACAAT